TCTGGAAAGAAGAGGAATGAAAGTCAGTCGTAGTAAGACGGAATACATGTGTATGAACGAGAGGGAGGGAAGTGGAACAGTGAGGTTACAGGGGGCTGAGGTCAAGAAGGTGCAGGAGTTTAAGTATTTGGGGTCAACAGTTCAGTGTGATGGGGAGTGTGGGAAAGAGGTGAAGAGGCGAGTGCAGGCGTGTTGGAGTGGGTGGAGAAAGGTGTCAGGAGTGTTGTGTGACAGAAGAGTGTCAGCAAGAATCAAAGGAAAGGTGTACAAGACAGTAGTGAGACCAGCTATGCTGTATGGGTTAGAGACTGTAGCAGTGAGGAAAAGACAAGAGGCAGAGATGGAGGTAGCAGGGATGAGGATGTTGAGGTTCTCTTTAGGAGGGACCAGGATGGACAGGATTAGGAATGAGCACATCAGAGGGACAGCTCAGGTGGCTGTTTTGGGGACAAGGTCAGAGAGGCCAGATTGAGATGGTTTGGACATGTGCAGAGGAGGGATAGTGGTTATATTGGTAGAAGGATGTTGGAGATGGAGCTGCCAGGCAAGAGGTCAAGAGGAAGGCCAAAGAAGAGATATATGGATGTGCTAAAAGAGAACATGAAGTTAATTGGGGTGAGAGTAGAGGATGCCGAGGATAGAGTTAGGTGGAAACAGATGATTCGCTGTGGCGACCCCTAATGGGAACAGCCGAAAGAAGAAAAAGAAGAGACACAGGTTGTCCTCCGCTTCCATCAGTTTCTAACTGGCCCTGCTTCTGCCAAGAGCCAGCTCATTGAGACACGTGATTGGCTGAAGTGCTGCGTTGAGGGAAAGTGCTTACACATTTGGCACTGATCTATTATTTCATTGCAGCAATATTTGAAAATGGAGTCTCTCAACTTGGTCTTCTGATGAGGGGTTAAAATGAAGCCTAGCACCACGGGCTTTGTATAGCAACACCACACTGACACCATGAGTTGTGTTGCTTCCCAGCAGCTGCCACTACCTCCATGTGATCAAGATATGGAAGATAAGCAGTGTGTTTTATAGTGCAGTGGAAACAAAGCTGTGCTGACTTGGGAGCAGCTCAGCACGGCTGTACACCACAAAAATGTAACACAAAAGCTGAGTTTTCACCTACTGGACATTGCCTGAAGTGAAATTCAGCAGCCTGACTAACTCTGCAAGTTGCTTTGTCTTTGGATGTACACAATGCCCACGACACCACACTTGTTCTTATTAACTGTCAGGTTGGAGTGGGATGACAATATGAGAATTACAGGAGTGGGAGAAGAGTTACGACATCCCACCACTGCAGCCAGAGCTTACTTGCTAACCCCTAAAGAAAAATGTTTGTGAGATTCTTGTTTACACTCATGAGATCATTTATGTTTCTTCCCTTCACACAAAAGGAAGCTTGTTTGTGTTCCAGTCCAAGTCCATATTTGTGTTAATAAGGAACTGGGGAAGAGATTCAAAGGAACTGAGTTAGTGATAAGGTGATAAGACTGGACCCCAGCTGAATCCCAGAATGTGACACTTTTGCACCACAGGTCCAGGCCCTGTATTTATCAAGCATCTCAGAATTACTCCTCGGAATCATGCTGAAAGTTAACCTAAGAATAAAACACTCCACCTACAACTTAACCTCTATGATAATCCAGGAGGCTGGTCATCTTGACAGTTTCTCTTTGAGGAGATTCTCACATATGTAGAAAATCCTTTCTGCTTATTTCAGAGCTGACGCCAAAACACTCAGAGGTTTATGGGTGTACAGCCTCTAATAACACAGGTCAGCAGAGGCAGAAAAGACCTGGGGTCACCCTAATCAGTAGGACACTGTCATGTCCATTCCCACCTCTAAAACATCCAGAATAACTAAAAGCCCTCTCTGTATCTGTATGTATAAATGGTCAGGTCAAGGTCAAAGGTTTATTGTCATATACAGTGCCTTGCGAAAGTATTCGGCCCCCTTGAACTTTGCGACCTTTTGCCACATTTCAGGCTTCAAACATAAAGATATAAAACTGTAATTTTTTGTGAAGAATCAACAACAAGTGGGACACAATCATGAAGTGGAACGAAATTTATTGGATATGTCAAACTTTTTTAACAAATAAAAAACTGAAAAATT